TAGTAACTGGAAAAAATGTGAGTGTCCAGAAAGTCAACATTTCTCCTTGCCTTTGTCAGGATAATGATCGAGGTATTAAGGAATTGACCAGAAATAAATCACGACACAGCAAACTTCCCAAAGTAAAAAAATTGATTTCAAACACTACTGTCATATCCGTTTCTATGTTTGACAATCTGGAAATAAAGGGAAAATTCAACAAACACATGAATGTTTGGAATATCTTCTTGCAGCACAATAATAGCCAAGACCAACCCCATAGGAGTTGTAGTCAAACCGGTCGTGGACCACCACCCAACGGATGTCAAAGCGGTTACAGAGGTCAAACAGGTGGTCGGTAGCCTGCTTGGTCCATTTCTCATCATGCAGATGTAGCTGGTACTCCTGACTGGTGTACAGTGGAACTGACACCTCCTGAAACATCAAAATCCAGAGTTGCAACCAATAAAAAGGCAGTCTGAAAAACAAACCGAGAAAGGTATTTGTAGCACCCATCCCTCCCTCCCTCACCAAAAAAAAAAACCAAAACAAAACTGTTAGGAAGTTTTAAGGTAGGACTAAATACATGTCAGCCAGTTGGTAGAGCACTGGTGTTCCACAAGTCCCAGGTTCAATGCCCATTCCAGCCAATTTCACCTTTATACCCATGTAGTCCATTTCCCTGTATAATTTGAGTACGTGATTTTTACCTTGTTAAAGCGAGCGAAGGGATAGTCTTGACCTTCATCAGCTACCCTTCTCCAGTGAAAAAACACGGCACCATCCTGAAAACAGATCATTTATACAATACTGAAATTCAAGATTTTCAATTTAAAAGACAACCAATTCTTCTTGAATGCCATTTACATGTATACCTGTTGTTTAAACTGAGCCACACTACGACTCAAAAAACTTGCAGTGAATCTGATCGTTTATGAATTGTTTCTCTACAAAACTTTTATCATGTCAAGACCTAAACAACACACACAACAATAGATTAGTAACACAAGGAATGGAAACCAAAATAACTGTGAAGAACTTGCTTTTCTAGCAGGGTTGGTGAATGGCATTCGCTTCCAAGGTCGGACTTTACTTCGGCCAAGTTTGGCCTTCATCTGCTTGTAACCCTTGTTTGCATCTGATGGAATCAAGGGAGGTGGATCTCTGAAAAAGAAAAAAATTAATTTTTCTACTGTAATAAATAAAAAAGTCAAAAATATTATGGTGTTTGGTGGTTAACAGGAGCAAATAGGCCTATGTAAAGTATATCACATTCACATCTCCCAAACAAAATTCTGTTGTCTGTCAATGTTTTTGATTCGCCTACTTGTTATCTGAGTAGAGTAGTGCATAAACCTCTCGATGCATCCCTTCCGGACGTTTGAAGGTGGACTCCTGACTTTTCCTCGATTTCTGTTTATCAATGAAAGGCAAATTTGGAAACATTAAACCGCTGCAACATAAGGGGTGGGTTGGTGATTGGGATCTCACTAAGCGTACAGAGTGCACTTGGTCAGTTTGTACATGATGTAGGCAAAATCATAGGCCTAATGCTTTGTTACTGTATCTGCAGCAAGTGCAAGCCAATTTTGATCAAGAACTGGTCTTTCATTGAAGTAAATCTGGTATATCAGCAGGTTGGTGCTAATTTAGAAAAGTCATATTTTCACTGAAAATGGATTTATTCTTCAAGCTGACCTGTTTTTTGTCAGATGCAATGATCTCTTCTTTCTTTCGCATTTGTGCCGCTGAATCACCGGTGACTGCGACAGAGGTAGGGGCGATTCCTGCCTCAGCCTGCACGTCGACATCCCACTCCAAGATGTCACGGACATCAGCCATGTTGCTACTTTCAACCCTGAACTTTGGATATCGACAGAATTCAGTAAGATAGACGGTGCAGACTTCTCAGCGAACTAGCACACATGCCCCACATCTCCGCTTCTCGAGCGCGACGCCATCTTGAAATACACTAGACGGCTGTTGGCTGTTCATTTCTTACGAGAGCTCGTTAATGCCATAATTATTTTTATTTTCAAGATAACTATTAATTAACGTGTTTATTTTTATTTCAGATAGTTATTTTATTTTCAAAGTGGTTTTCGTTATTTTCAGGAACATTGAAAAACAAGGTTTTGGTCGCGAGACTTGTCATATTTTATGTATAACAACAATTACCTGCATGATAGTGATAGCGGATTTAATGGCAGAGGTGCCAAATCCACGTCCACTGACCTGTTACACAAAATGATAGGACGTAGAGTTAACTTTTTGTAGTAAATTTCAGTGTCGTATTGGCGATATTTTTTTATTTTCAAAAGCATTTTTCAAATCAGCTGTTTGTATTATCTTAAGCTGCAATTTATGGAAATGACCATTATGAAAATATTTATCATGAAAATAAAAATAGCGAGGCACTATTGAGCTTTCGTAGTTTGTCAAGTTTATTTGTCTACTTCGTTCTTATAATACAAACAATCGTTTCCCTTTGAATTTGTTTCGTCCTGCATATTTCGTCATGTATATAGCTTTTGTTTCGTTTCTAAAATGTTTGTTTCGTCCTCTTTTTACCCAAATGGTCCGTGGTGTATGTGCGCCACCTACGACCCCAGCGTGTGTGCCAATCGCAGATGGCAGTACATCGGCCGGCTCTGTTGCTGGGAGATCAGTTTCACTGGTTACAACAGCATCTTTCTGCACAACCACCAGTGCGCAGACGAATACCCACCGACAGGTTGCTATAAGACCTTAAGACTGAACTCTGATCGACAACCTGTTCCTCAGACAGATCATGAAATTTTGTTGAAACTTCCCTATTTTTATGGTCCCACAAAACCACATTCTCCACTGAAATTTGGTTCTTAGCATGTCGAAGTTTCCCGAAAATTCTGTCATGATGGCATTATATTTTTTCGATAAGTTATACCAGAAAATTGAAGGCTCGACGGTTTTGTTTTCATGCTTGAAAATTGTAACTTTCCGACAATCAAAATAAAAGAACACTCCCCTCTGTATGAACTCAAAGGAAAGCATTTTATGTAACTGATGAGTTCATGTCGCCATATATACTCCTTCAATTTCCAGACTTTCCATCACATCAGACTTTGTCGGTTATCATTACTAAAAAGCGGAAGAGAACAAGGCTATTGACCTAGGATGTTACATGCACAGCTGTATATGCCAATGCATGCATCAGTTATGTATTTTATTGCTATGCTAACTTCGCCTCGTGGGTAGGCCTACGCTGTGTGGTGGCTGCTACATACCCTCAGGCAAGTTTAAAGGATCCGTGCAAAGAATTTTCTTATAGATTCACTCTCTGTCACCCTTTTTACTCTTTCTTTAGTGCATGAAAGCTGCTTAACTTTTGGAGTTATCTATAAGTGCATTGAAAAGCTCACCTATTAAACACCACTGTAGTGTTTCGAGCCACTGCAACAACAAATTGGTTCCATTTTGGTACATGTATACCTTAAAGATAAGCAGAAAGTGTGAACGTGAGTCCTTAAAAGTATAGCCATACTATCTTTATAAAGATGAAGTAACATAACATCAACCAATGACGTCGACGTAATGGGCAATTTGGCAAATTCCCTTCATTTTACCGTGAAATACCAACGTCTTTTTATACATGATTACAATTGAATCTCGCACAGATCTGTAGATAGGGTAGCACGTGCGAAAAAAATCGCCCTCCCCTATCATTTTGTATTCTCATTTAGGAAATTACTATTTCCGTTAAATGTATCATCCACCCCTCGTGTAAACTAAGAAATCACTGGATGAACGCTACGTACCTTGGCGTCACACACTCAAAATCAATTCTCCAAAGAGACGCTTGTTCCACTGTCCCATTATGTCTGCCCCATTGTGTCCGCAGATCCATTATGTCCGTAAGTCATATATATCCATAATTAAACTACAATTGAACCCCCCCCATGTGAATACAAATTACTGTCGAATCTTGTTATGCATCAGACTCAATTATTTATTATTATTATTTTTTTAAATGTACATGTTATTTACATCAATATCATGATTATCGACCTCCATACAAGCTATACAGGGTGCCTTTTAAAAAGGAAACTGAGATCAATATCATGAACATCGACCTTTATACATGCTTTACAGGGTGTCTTTTAAAAAGGAAACTGAGATCAAAATCACGAACATCGACCTCTATCAGGGTTAAAAAGGAAACCGAGATAAACTTGTTTGTTTCTTTACAGGAAAAGGCCTCTGAAAATGCGGTTTTTTGACAATGTATGCCATACCAACGTGCATGCTGGGATAGTTTATCCGACACGAAACAGTACTTTGGCGCGCAATACAGCATTGCAGATGAGAAGGCCAAAAAATGGTCTATAGAAATCCTGGATAATCGTCGCAGAAATCTGTCAGCTGGCCGGTGCGAGCGAGCGCCTCATTGGAGCAATTGTGACGTCACTGTCGAGATTCTCATCATGTGACCACTTGTTAATAACCGCGTCCACAAATTTAGTTCCGCCTCATAAAAACTGTTTAGAAAAATACCTTACTTCATATTTTCCTTTTTGTTCTTAATACATGCTTAAGTAACCCTGTAGCGACGATCTAAGTAAATTTTGCAATTTGGGCCCCAGAAAGACAGTCTTCCTGCAATGTGTCTAATAATTTTGGAAAATGGTAACTATCATCGGTTTAATTATGATGTCCTCTTTTGCATGACACCAAGAAATCCAAATTCACGTCATAGATGACTGAGCACGGAGTGGTCTAATGGATCAATTCAGAAATGGCCTTGCACCAAATAGCTGTTTTGATGTTGAATGCACAATGTCCAGAGATGGCTTTTTTGTCAGAATTACGTAATATTTGCCAGAGTCTTCAAAACTATTTAAAAGTGATGAGAACAATGGCAGAAGTTTGCGTTGAAAGGGATTAGGGGCATATTGAAGGACACTGGGTAAGGCTGCAGCAAGAATAAAACCCTAACTGTGGATGTCTTTGAAGTAATTACTTAACTAACCCTAACCCTCCTGAATCCTTCACCTGTTGGAGGATTGAGGAGGGTTAGGGTTAATGTTTCACGCTGTGCAAATCTTTGATGCGTCTTGTGCAAAGCTAAGTTCTGACAGGGTCCATTCGAACACTTTGTGCTCCGTCATGTGTGACAGAAATGTGGATTCTCCGTATCCTATTAAAAAAAGACATCACACTGAAATAGATTGTATATTTACCAGTTATACAAAAGTCATAAGCCACATTCAAGAATCAGAGTAGTTAATCTCGGTTTCCTTTATTTATAAGACACCCTGTATATCGTTGTGTCACCCCCCGTTTTTGTTTTAATGTATCCCCTCCCCCTTTCCCATACCTCCTCCCACTTTCCGGCACAAATTTACGCCAGTGATTTAACGCTTCAGGCCCACAATCGGGGATTAATTTTATTTCGGAGACACAGCCTGATGAGACTGAGCCGAAGTTGAGTATTCGAAAAAGGCCAATATCCATGCCTACTCATGGGGCGTCGAATGTGCATGCATGTACAAAACTTGCATATTGTTGGACCGTTTTCCTTCCTCCGATGGTTGGACCAGTCCGGTCTATCGACTCGGGCCAGGCGTCACGTGAACATGTACATGTATGTGCATAAGTCATGGCCTCAGGCTACCACACAGGGAGCCAAAATTGACATTGATAAAACTAACGAAGGACAATTTGCAATAGCTTATAACACGGTATCCTTTTCCAAACACTCTTTCCAGATTGGGCCTACCAAGATATGCAGCATGTGTGGAAAAGACTGGAAAACAATTCAAAAATTTGATTTTAAAATACCCTTTTTACGTTCGAAAAGGTAACGTGCACAGTCATCTTCCAACCCTTTTTCTCAGAAATGCCACTTAATATCAACAAACTTCATAAATGAAAAGTGAAGCCTGATTACATTTCTCTGGTATAAATTCAGCAAACTTTTGCGCAATGCGGAAGATGCGGAAGATTTCCTTAGATGGATTTCGGTATAGCCGTTTGCTGGCTAGCGTTGCACAGAATGTGACCACAGCTTTTGCTATGTGTGGGTGCACATGTGCACGTCCATGTACTTGTACACGTACATACTGCACATGTACACAATACTCCATCAACGCACATATACGTAAACATGCACTACTACGGATAAGTGACTCTCGTGCAAAATATTCAATACGCAGGAACTAAAAAATACTGCTAATGTTTTTATCAGATCTTAATACACACGGCACTTTTAATGACTGTGGACGTACATTCTTTCAAATCTGGGTCGTGTTCATTCTCTTTTAAATCACTTTTTCAGATTGTTTGGCAGAAATTTTGTTCAAATTTTGTGCAACTGGGCTTATAATACGGTGGCATAATGTTTTCTGGTCACTTTTTAGGTATCAGGTTATCTCTGTGAACTTTGTTTGTACTTCGTTAAAATAAATTTTGGTCTCCATCTGCGGAAAGAAGCTGCTGCTCCATTTCATGAAATTTACCTCTTATTTTCACTTTTTGGAAATAAAATTTCTGCCCAAAACATTTTCATGGCAAGATAAGGCCTTTTCCTAACGTGTTTTGTGAAAATAAAAGTGAACAATAGTACCAGAGTGGTCAAAACTAGTAATTTTTTTACGGTGAAAAGCTCTTTTCGTAAGTGGTAGTTTGTTTACGTTTTGATGCGATTTTTAAAGGATCGAAACAAAGAATGTGAACTTTTGCTGAAGTTTTCAAAAGTGGGCTACGGTGGAGAAAGGTGTGAAGGTTTTAGATTTGCTGACGGTTTTCCGCTAGATTTTTCTCTAATACCAACAGGACGCGTTTGCATACTTGTATCGACCTAACTCAGCACCAATTCCGTTTATCCTGCATAATCTTACGGCTTTGCGGTCGTAAGAATTCAGTGACTCGGGAACGAAAGACAAACACAAAAGTAGAGTAAGTTAACATGAAATTTCATTATTGAAACCGAGGTCTATCTATCATTATAACATTGCCAGGAAATGTTGAAATTCACGGTATATAACCCAGTTTGATATGTACTATACATGCATTACCCACATCATGTACAGCGGCTCCGACGAGAATTTCCATGTACGCTGCGATACGCGGTAACAGGCCGCAGTGTACCGTGCACGGTACGTAGCTGGATCGAGTCTGTGCATGTAAAACACGCATAGATCGCGCTGCGCCGAAGTATCAAACATAGGCGAACTCATGAAAGTCGAACAAGAAGATCTAGCTAGTTAGAACTGATTGTACTTGAGATTTTGGCCTGTCGTATGCAGTGTCTCACTGTTCTGGAAAAACTTCTAAATTGTGTTTTATTCGGTTTAAGCCTTAGCACACACAAAGAGTGCAGGCGAAGTCTTCAAAGCGAGAAGGCTCAACAGAGGATTCGCAAGTTGCTAAGGATAATTTC